TGGTCAGTATTTTGTACTGTTCGAAGAGGGGGGGAGGGGGCGCTACAAATTACTAGTTGTGCATAGATATCACACGAATTGACGCAATCCAGTTTATTTAGTAACTGACTGCCCATAGGATAGTGATGACAAAGTGGGTTATTTAGGTCCGGACTGATCTTTCTCGATTGATTGACCATTTTCATTTGTCATAAAAATCAACGTGGTGTGTACAATATTTTTTGCTCATAATATTCTAGATCTAGATCACATCTGCACCATGCCAAAACCCTCTTTATACTTTACGTCACAAAGAGGAAGGAGCAAGGCAACGAAAAACATGTCTCAAGTTCTGTACACAAAAACTCATAACACCGGCACCCCCATCAAAATCATCCGAACCCTTGAATCAATCTCCATTGTGATCGCCAACTTGTTATTTCGATTTGCTTAAACCCCGTGAAACGGTACGCCGCGCCCGTATACAAAATTTTGCACAAAATAGCAGGAAACAGGTAAAAATTCCTCCGGTTTGCAACCCGATAGTCAACCCATTTGATACAACGGGGTACATACCTTTCCGTACATAACAATGTATTCACGTACTGACCATGCCCAACCTGCACGGGCAAAATAGGTGGTTGATGGTGCCTGTGGCATTGTGCGTGCCCAGCACACGTGTTTGAATAGGAAAAAGGTAAGGGAGCTCGTCATGTAAAGAGGTTAGAAGGAGGTAAAAGGCATACATGCAACATCTGTTGGTGTTCGGATCGTGGGAAACACGGAAAGCGGAATGATATTGGGTTAATGCATCGTCGGGTGCCTTAATTGGTCAAGCGCTTCTGTTTGTTTGTTCAATGGAACGGTATTAGGGATACAGTCAGATCAGAACTAATTACATGATGGATGCAATGATGTTATTGCCCTATAACTTCTGACATTGTAAATAAAGAGAAACACTTTTTATAGACAAAGACATACAATATATGTGAGATGACCCATAGTAGACGGAGTACGACAGGAAATGGATTAGACGAGACCGAACAGGTTCATCAACAGTATCACGAAATTGTTTCAACACATTATTGATTCGAGCAAGACGTGATAAGAATTTCGGTTCAATTTCGTATATTACTAAAATAAATCGTTTCCTATGAAAGGTCCCATCACAATGGAACATCAGGCAATAGAGTAGGTTTGCCAGCATCGCATGACTTTTCAGTGAAAATATTTGATTCATGGTGGTGTACGTTGCTACTAGTTGAAATAACACAAATTAACTCAAAGATGGACATATCCATGATGAGGTAATAGTGATGATATCGGACCGAAGTCGAAATCGGAGATTTTAAATTTGGTTTATCGGAATCGGAACCGGAACCGAAATCGGAAGCGAAGGCTGAGGCAGATGTGTTAAGAGGAAGCAGGTTTGGTAAAATGAAATTATACATTGTTAATCAGCCTTTTTAATTGTAGCTCAACATATAAACAAATTTTCTCTGAAAATTAAATATTATGTATTAGTTCATTAAATCAAATTCCCAAACAGGCAAGTTATACTTAATAAATAAAAGCTTCGCAGTTTAACCTCGTTCCAGTATAATTCTTAGTTGGTGGGAAATTAAACTATCACCACTAAAAAGTTGTTCTCTTGGTTCTGAGATTGGTGTACACGACAAATATTGGCGGGCAATATACGAGTAATTCAGTGGTTTGAATTAAGTATGTATTTCGTGTCCACCTCAACACGGAGTCTTCACTCATGGCATTGGAATTGTCATCATCATCGCTGCTCAATAATATATTTGATAAAATTGGATAAGCTTCGATTTAAATGTTTCTGATCCGAAATCGGAAGATCCAAAACAATAGGAAGTTCCGACTTTTCGGAATCAGAATCGAACCTCTGTAACAGCCCTGGTCTAAAGCTACGTCCTCACACAGCAAAAAGACGACAACATGACACGCTTCCGATCTCTTGTCTTGAGTGGGGTGTGAAAAGTGAACCAGTGAGGGTCGTAGACAGTTCACACGATCATGGTTTAGTTTATTCCATGAAGCCGACCATGAAGAAGCTTCTGATTGACGGTTATGCTCTTTTGAGTTCAGATTTTATTTATTTGGTAGCGAAAAGGTTGAGAGTCACGAGGTCGGACAAACATATAAAAGAGAAGGCTTTGTGGGGTCATGAAGTGTATACGTGGATGTAGAGATTTGCATGAACACAGCTCGGCAGTCTCTGAATTAAGAAATGGAGATTTTAAATTTGTTACAAATATCTGAACTTCACTTTGGTTTCCTTCTGGGACGCGTTTCAGCACTCATTTCAAAGGCAGAACATGTTGTGCCTCGTTCGCAATTATTGGCGTGTCCACGCCTGAAAATCAAATTGTTTGATACCGAGCGTGAGCGGTCGTCGACTTACTTTTCTCTTGATGACGTCAATCGCAAACTCACGACACCTTGTTCAGGAGCAGGAATAGGGTGCCACGCTCCGTGGGAACCTAGCTCAAAATTCTTCATTTGAGATCGTTGCTGAACTCTACCTCACTGGGACGTTATGCGACGTCGCCACTCTGGCGATGAGATACGACGGTTTTTGTGAATGTATAAAGTGACCACAAATTCGACTTATTTCTTGAAAAAGATTGTGATAGAGGTTATTTGAAATCTAATTAAACGTAGATAAGCGCTTTTTAGCTCCTAGAAAATTGAGAGCATTTTTGTACCTGTTTGGAAAACTCATATGGCTTCCTAATTATTCAACAATAATTCATACATCAACTGCCAGACATACATTAATTTATTCGAATGATTCTGGATGATTTTCACTATCACTGAGAGTATTTGCCATATTTCGGAAGATATCAATTTAAAGCATACAAATGATCATTTTGTAGAAAGTTTCAAAAAATCTCAATACGCTGATAATATACAGGGTGGCTCATCCATGTGTGCACGGAATATTACTCATAAACAAATTCATTTTAGGAAAATCTATTTATGGGATGTTATACATGACATTCGATGGCTTATTTCTAAAATATTGGTGTCTCAATTTCGACCTACATATCAAAGTTGTGTTTTTTCAAATGGAATTCCTCAAATTTTATTGCTTATTTGAATAAACCAACTCGAAAGAAGAACATTAAAATATATATAACATACTATGGGGTTCTGGTAATTAGCTACTGAGATATAAGGTGTTTTGTCTAGAAAAACCTCCCACTTCGGCAACTCCTCAGTCCACCCATCAGCTTTTATCTTATTTGTCACTACTGGAGGGGTTGCCGAAGTGGACGATTTTTCTGGATAAAACACCTACATCTCAGTAGCTAATTATCAAAACCTCATAGTATGCTATATCAAACTTCTTCTTTGGAATTGGTTTATCCAAATATGCAATAACATTTGAGGCATTCCATTTAAAAAATCACAACTTTGATATTTGGGTCAAAATTGGGACACCCTGTATAATTGCCAATATTTTAGAAATGTGCCCTCAAATGTTATGTATAACATGCCATAAATAGATTTTCCCAAAATGTATATGTTTATAGGTAATATTCCGTCCACACATGGATGGGCCACCCTGTACATATATCCCTTTTAGAGGCATACATCTATTGAATTTTTGGCTGCCCTATAGATATATTTCATATTTCAATATGGATAGCTTGGTTACTTTCGCATGCGCAATGGAATCCCTGCCACCAAATCCAAATTCATAATGTTTAGTTGATTTGTACTCAAGATTTTTATGTTCTCTCCAACTTATCTTTACGCTGCACATGAAACCAAAACAGAGTAAACTTTTAATAAATAGCAGTTATGAATTGAGTTTTATAGTAGTAACATCACTAGCTCTCAGCTCCTTGGATACCTGTTTCTCTGCACTTCCCTTGCTGAATTTAATGAAGATTCAAGCTATAATAAAACATGCCGTTAAAGCTGCATCAATCAAGTTATATGCTACTTTCTTGGTATATCAAAGCCATTATACTAAACCATTGATTCCCAAAGTAGTCTATATCGACCCCTAGCGGTCTATGACAACCTGCAAGGGGTCTACGTCAGCGAAAAAAAATTTGGGGGTACATGAAATGAATACGGGGGTCCACGATAGTGGATCTCAACACATACACTGATAGTACCTATTTACTTACATCATACTATCTCATAATATCAAAACATATACATTATTTATAAAAGTACATATGAAGTAAAAAATTTATTATACATGTTTATAAAATTGTGTAAGTTGTAGGATGTTGGTATTCGCTTTGTGGTCGCAATACATTTTGAACTTGTAAAAACCTGAGAGTCGCAGTCTCAGAGCTTCGCTACCTGGCACTGACTTGTTCAATTCGTCACTCTATAAATACGAATGTGGGACAAATACGTTTATTCGTTTCCTGAATCTTGAAAAGGAAAGTGCTAAGAAAATATTCTAAAAAATATAAACAGATAGTATATCACACAAATTATAGTGAGTCAGTGTTATTTTGTTTGAGAGTGCTGGAGAAAAGCAAGTACATTATTTTTTATTAAATTTTAGTTTTGTACTCGTAGTTAGCAAATATAGATAAATTACGCCAATCATGACTTTAGTTATTAGTAGTTAAATATTCAATCATGCAAAATTACACGAGTACTCCTCAATAGTTTCTTTTTGAAAGTTTTAGCAATCGGTAATATAATTACAGTGCAATCTCCGTAATTCGAGCTAATTGTGGCAAGAAGATGTTCGAATTATGGAATGTTTTCGGAAAAATCAATAAATATTTTTAATATACAGCTGCTGGATTTTCTGTCTTATTTAAATAATTTAATTACAGTACAGTGTTGATTATTTGAAATTTGACTTCATTCCATCATTGCCTATGTGCCTTTTATGCAACAAACTTTTGGGCAATGACGCTATGAAACCATCTAAACTGCAAGATAATCTGAGAAGATGCCACCCTGATAAAACAGAGAAAGATTTGAAATACTTTCAAACACTCAAAGATAAATTTTAGAAGAGACCTACACTGGACAGAATGTTAGCTTCGACGTCACAAAGAAATGATGATGGTTTGCGGGCGTCTTACAATATCTCGTTACTTATAGCAAAATCCGGAAAACCGCATACTATCGGAGAGAAGTTAATTTTGCCAGCCGTTGGAGAGGTTTTAAAAACTGTTTTACACAAACCTGCATCTGATATCATTAAAAGCATTCCCTTAAGCAACAATACTGTTGAAGGACGTATTGATGAAATGAGTTCTGATATTGAAAGCTTCTTATGTAATTATTTGCAAACGACCCATTTCTCTATACAACTGGACGAGTCAACTTTACCTGATAATGCAGCATTATTGGCATATGTTCGTTTTATTATGAATCAAGAAATCTACGAAGAACTGCTCTTCGCAAGAACTTTGATAACCGACACTGAAGGTGAATCAATATTTCATGTTTTGAAGGATTACTTCATTGAAAAAGCAATTCCTTTATCAAATATAATATCAGTAGCTACAGATGGAGCACCTGCCATGGTTGGACGTTATCGTGGATTTATAAGCTATTTAAAACAAAATGTGTCAGGGGTGTTAGCAATACATTGCGTCATCCATCGACAACATTTAGTTGCTAAAAATTTGGGTGTTAGATTGCATGAATCACTTCATTTAGTCATTGATGCAGTAAAGCGAATCCAAAGCAACGCGTTGAATACGCGGTTATTTGCGCAGTAGTGTGAAGAAAATGACGAACACTTTCATCAATTACTCCTTCCCACTGAAGTACGCTGGCTGTCGAAAGGCTTATGTTTTACAAGATTTTTTGCACTTTGCACAATTTAATATGGTTAATTTGCAATTACAAGGCGACAATTTAAATTTGATCAAAACAAAGTCCATCTTATCAGCGTTTCTTGCCAGAGCTAAACTAATGAAGCAAAATATTGGACGGGGCGAATTTTCTCAGTTCCCCAATTTATCACAGACAAGCTGCCAGGAAGACGACGTTTCAACTTACGTTCAACATTTAAATGCCCTCTATTCAGATTTTAAATCTAGGTTTGAGGATATTTTGACTATGGTAATACCACCGTGGATAATTAATCCATATGGTGACATAGAAGAAACGAATGTCATAATACAAGGGGAACTGACTGAACTAAGTACGAACGAAGGAAGGTTCAGTTTAAAAACGGATATCAGCAATTCTGGCTGCAAAACAACATACCTGTTACGTATCCCGTATTATGGAATATAGCGAGGACATTTTTAATTTCCTTTCCATCGTCATACCTTGTGGAAAGGGGGTTCAGCGCTGTTATCAATCTCCTAACGAAAAAAAGAAACAGACTGGACATAATTAGCCGAGGAGATTTAAGATTAACCTTTACAAAATTGACGCCAAATGTTGATAATTTATCATTAAAGCATCTCACTAAAAATATTGACTTATTGCTTATGTTATTTTATTTATAGTTTATTTTATATTTATTGGTGTCTGACCAATAAATGCCCGCATTGAGAATAAGTGCCCGCATTGATTTTTTTAAAGAACCCCCCTTTATAGATATCATTTTTTTTAATTATTCTGAAAATTCAAGGATAGGTACACACTAAAATTCGTTAATTTTTTGCCTATTTTTAGATAACTTAAACGTATAAGAAGCGGAATTGAATCAAACTAACAGTGAAATTATTGTAGAACATACGTTTATGTTATAATTAATAAACGAACTTGCTTATTGTACTACTTTAAGTAAAAAACTTTTTTTATTATTTTTCACTTTTTTTATTTTATCCCTCTTATTTTTTTTTTCAATGCGGGCACTTATTCCCAATGCGGGCACTTATTGGTCAGACACCTGTTTATTTAATGTTACGTATATTTTACATAACAGATAAAAATTTTTATTTTGAGTAGTTTTAATTTAAATTCAATTAATAACTGTATAAATTAACATGTGTTTTTACTTTAAGTTTTTAACACTAAACTTCACTACAGATAGAAATTTACAGGAAATCACTATTAGGTAAGTAGGGGGTCTACCCAACACGGAAAAACATGGCAAGGGGTCTACGACACAAACAAGTTTGGGGAACTCTGTACTAAACTATGTATATGTACCTATGTATCTGTAGAAAATGATAACATAGGTCGGGGAATGGGACAAAACCGGTAAAAAATTCGCTTTTGCGTCGCAAGACTATACAAGTCGAGACCTGTGATCAGTGAGTCATCTCTAGAAGTGCAGCTGCTGTCTTCGAAGCCGTGCATCTTGGCAGTGAAGAAAAGGTTAAATAGGCCGAGCGAGATTGTCGAAAATGGCATTCACCTTTCCGGTCAGGTTGGAACTCGCGTCTTTGATTATACGTGTAAATAATGTTGATGGAATATGTTCATCATTTGGTTTATCGAAAACACTGTCATTGTTTCATTCAATATATTTGTAATAGTTTGTAGTAGCTCATAGTAGTTGATACTGACTGCTCGTGATATATCGTGATCCTTTCTTGATACACCACCAACTACATGTCTAAGCACAGATTGTTAACTATGTCTGATGGTGGTTATACTTCAAGATGCCAGAACTGCCAGGCATTCTCAAATACCAAATTTGGGACATTCAGTAGTGTTTATACAGGGTGATTCACAAGTAGTGACCAAAAAACAACCATCATATACAGGACCGTATTAAGGGAGGTCTTCTATGTAACATTTTTTCCTCGAGGGCTTCATTAAAAAGATAAGTGCGGCATCTTTTTAATAAAGAAAAACGTATTTCCGCAAAATATGTTGTGGCTTGAATTTGATGAAACACGTTATCTATTCTTTCTTGTAACTTATCAACCGTAGATGTTAATTTGTTTAGCATACACTAGTTGTTTAAAAGCGCCCCACAAAAAAAAACAGGGTGTTCAAATCAGGAGACCTCGCAGGCCAATGCACGGGTCCGTTTCTGCCAATCCATCGTTGTCTAAAATGATTATTTAACCATGCGGTTATGTCACGACGACATGCGGTGGGCCACCGTCGTGCTGATACCAGATTCGTACTCTCGTTGCTAACGGAACACCATCTAACACACCTTCTATGTAATTCTGTAGAAGAGCTAAGTATAAGTTTTTACTTTTACAGACATGTCTAGAAAATATGTGATGAAACGAGTGGATTCTTACAGAACGGGGATTTTCTAACTACCAAATATGTTCATTATTGAGAATTAAAGTTTCCACTCCTCGTAAAAACCGATTCATCTGACCACAAACAAAAAAATAAGAAATAAATAATTGATTTCCACTTATATCCTCGTTTATGTATGCTATTAATGGGACTATAATATTTGCTTAGCTAGTCAAATCGTGAGGGCCAAAAATCTTGCCAGACAGAAAAAATCAACCGTGATGTGCGCGAGGGTACTATGGTGTTTACTACTATGAAAATGCCTAATTTATTTGTGAGTTTTTTGTACGAAAAACCTGTGGTACATAGCTGCTGCAGTGCATAGCAGCGAATGGAGCACTTGCTTGCACGGAGTGTTTGGATTTATTATTATACTTCGGCGTCCAGTCCAAAGATGCTTATTGTTTCACCATATAGTCCGTCCTGTCGTGCTATCAGCCACAAGGTTTTGAAGCAAAATCCCCCTTTCATGTTACGCTCGTGTACCCTGTACGTACCCCTCCTACAGTCACTTAGAAACTTTGATGGGAGTTTTGCACAGCTCAGGATATTTCGCCATTCAATGCCCAGGTTAGTGAGGCGATCACCTTCTTGCAAATCATTTTTGATAAGAATGAATGTCTTTTTGGCACCTTCAACTCTCACAGATCTGCGCTATCAATGATCTTTCCAAATAGCTCAGGGGATCATCCCATCCTGATTCATGAAGGGCATATCTCGGATAAATGAGTCTTGACTCCTTGGAAGCCTATCAGACAACATTCCTGAACTAGGTTCAGAGAAACTGTTAACCTTATTACTGTAAGCAACGAGGGATAGATTGCAGACCATATTAAAAGTTAAAATTAGCAGTATACTAGATTCTGAAGATGGTGTTCAAATCCTATATAGATGACAGGATCAAAACGTCGGGGCCCAGGTCGAAACAACCTTGCTTGATGCTCCCAAGATTCTATGACAAGCCTCAGTTATGCGTAGCGAAGAGTCTGATCTCCTACGTTACAGGAATTGCTGCATTAAGGAACCTACACGACAAGTATTTGTTCATCACAACCAAAAAACCTTATAGAGTCACCTGCAAACAAACTGAGTCGCTGAGTCAGAAAGACCCTTAACATGGCAAGTATCGATACCACCATGTTCAAGCTGCATTCTAGCCGGCATGCGTCAACTTCCCCCGCTAGCAGAGCCGTGGTATCAGACATTTAACAGGCTGGAGTAGAAATTCTGAAACCCTTGCAAAATTTTATAAGCGACCTCTAATGCATAGAGACCAATTTGTACTAAAACTTTTGAATGTATAGAAATAATCATTTATTTCATTTTATGATATATCCTGTATAGCATACAGTTTTATTTGAATTTTTCAGTATATTATCATTATCTATCTAATTTATGACAATAAATACTTTATCACAGGATCTCAAAAGCACCCGCTTCCGTTTGTGTCATAACACACACATCTTAAAAAATCTACGAGGTGAAATAATAAACATCTTTGGACTGGATGCCGAAGCATAATTTTACGATCAAATGAACTCACCTTAAGGAAGGTCGATCGAAATTATATGAGTCCAAAGATGTAAGCTACCTCCCAGGCCCTACGGGGTTATGAACAAAACGGAATAATTTCAACTAAATGATATGAGGGAAGTATAGCTGTATGTACAGGGTCTCGAGCGTAACATGAGAGGGAGATTTTGCTTTAAAACATTGTGGCAGGTAGGACGACAGGACAGAGACTACGTGGTGAAATAATAAACATCTTTGGACTGGATGCCGCATATAATCTCGATCGAACTTCCTTAAGGTAAGTTCATTTGATCGTTAAATTATTTAGCGGTCGCTAGAAACATATAACCTTACCTATGATCTCGAATGCGTACCTTCCGAAATTATTTATGAGATGCCGTGTAGAGATTAGAAAAATAGCCAGAAAACATGAATTTATCGATGTCTTATGAATGAAAGAAATAGGATATAGTTTGAAGTAAAGCAAATTCATTTTCGAGTGCCTGACTTGGTGGTAATTTTGCTTTCAGTATCTACTAGCCTTCCAAAGAGTGCTTGCTTTGTAAGTAATAAAGGCAGATAGTCTGAGCAGTCGCTCATAAAAATTATGAGGGTCCAATGCCGCTAGCTTCTGAGACGTTAAGGAAATCTAATGGTTTGAACTCTCAACTCAATCACAGATGTGTATACCGGTGGAGGAAAATCTTCCCGGTGGAAAACGTGAACTGATTATAAGATTAAAATAATAAAATCTCGTCTTTTGATGAACTAATAGCTTTATTCTCTCTATTCTTTTAAAGAGAAACAAAGCTATTAGCGACTACTAATATTTCAATGCTGGATATCACTACTGTCTTCGTGTACACGCATCTTAATGATTTCGTCTACGTGTATGCCAGCCTTAACGTTTTGGTCACCGGTAAAGTCAAATGTGTATGTGTATTTGAATTATCGAACGCCGCAAAAAATGCTGGGAGGTAGAAGCGATCGCAAAGCGCTGACTGTAGAGTAAAGTAAATAAATTGTTCTTTGTCTTATCAGTGCGATGTTTAGTTCGATGTTTGTGGGCAGTGGCCACCTCCCAGGTAGATATTTTCCTGAAAAAAAAAAACTACACCAATCGGTAAAATCGGTTGACTGAGAGTGAGTGATTTGAAGTTTTTTGAGACTTTTCTCGTGGTGAAATGCCAGACAAAATGATTTAGTGTTGGTTCTTCGGGATACTCAAGACAATCTGGAAGGAATGAAAATAGTAACTTTCGAATTCTATTTTTGGGATGATTTTTCTGAAACCGACGTGATCTGATTGCAAGAAAAAGTTTCACATTGTATGGCACTCCATTTGGCTCGACCCGGATGTTTCTAGAATTTTTATTACTAGAAAACATATTCCAAAAACTGGTGAAACATACAGATGAGCTTGGAATTCCCAGTTTTTCCAGTTCCTTTTACCTGATTAAATGATATTGTTTCGATTAAAAATATCTCAATGTTATTTTAAGGACACATTTTTAGTTATGTGGTTGTCAACACAACAGGAAATGGATAGAGTTCCTATACAATGTGTACAGAGCCATTTCGTTTGAGGTACGACAAAATAAGAGTACATTTTGGCATTAACGTGTTAGGGTTGAATGTTTAGCTGTGTCGTAAATGTCCAGAAAGTAAGTTTGAAATTATGTATATAGTTATATATAGTGTTTTCACTGAAACAATATTTAGTAAATTTTAATACCAACCTTATTGCAAAATAGATCCTAAATTGGTACGCATAGTTTGAATTTCCCAAGTACCTTTATGTTGGTAACAGTTTTCGGTGTTGTGACATTGTCGCAAAGTTTGTCAGGTAACGGCTGTTGTTTATTTGTGGACGGATTTGCAAGCAATTCGTCTCACTATAAACTGTATTTTTTCAAAGATGAAAGACAGAGTCCCGTTGCTTGGCTTAACCAACACAGTTTACTCTATCAATTGCAATAATTGCAACCAAATATACATATGTAGGTCAGATTTCCAGATCTCTGAAAGGAAGGATTTCATCTCACAAAAGTGATTCTAGGCTTCATCCCGAGCGATGTGCTCTGGCATCTCAATACAACAGGGCAGTCTATGAACTACACAAGTATCAAAGTTCTTGATGAAGAAAAACACCTATCCAAACGTTTATTCCTGGAAATGTCCCACATTTTCATGAATGACAAACTGTTTTAATAAGAAGACAGATGTTAAGCAACTGAGCATCATTTACTCATATTTGCTAAACTGCGTTGGAGCACTTACTCATCTCTCCAAATGTTGACTTTTTACATCCATAAATGGAATTTGTTTTTTTGGTCTAATCCACCCTTTCCCTCCAAAATTCCATCCCATTCAAATTTTTAATAATTGTTTTTTCTCATAAAATAATAACTGTTTAATTCAATTTTCCATCTCATCAATAATATAGTTTGTTCAACTGCCTCTGGTCTGTTGACAAGTTCTTATTTAACATATCTTGATAAATCACACCATCTGAAGTAATTTGGTAACATAGCACACATTTTACAAAAATTTTCGTTTCATCCTTCGACAATGACACCACCAACCTCTGTCATCTGTCATATGTTTCATCCTACTTATGATCCTATCCATTATGTACAGCATCAGGTGGCTCACGATGTAATTTTGACTTTCGTTCTAAATATTTTTTAATAAGTTTTGATGTATTCCTGACATACCTTCACCAGGCTACTGAATGTTTCCCTCAACCTAACCGTTAATAACATTTAGCAACAATCTTACATACTAATTAAGTAATTTAAAATCATTTTGCACAATAGTTGCTATTTCTTCTCAACGTTATTACAGTTCCTGATGAAGATGGCAAAGTCATTTGAAGCCTAGAGACTAATGGACTATAAAGAGTCCTCATACCTTGAATTTTTTCGAAATACCCAACTAAATTCGGAAGCTTTAGTTTTCACCTATATATACTGATATATACAGGGTGACTTCGAAGTTGAGTCATTTATTTTAACAGTGATCAAAAGAAATGTTTTTTTCCTTTACAATTTTTCTGGTAAAATTAAAGTAACAAAGTTATAGCCCTTTGGAAGTTTGAGAACCGCCCTGTCTCAATAATAATATTATGTGCTCGTGTTTGGCAACAACGGATATAATCCGCCTTATCGGTTCATCGCATCGGAAACAAAAAAGCAAAAGAATTTGGAACGATGTTTTTACAATTATTTTATTCAGTTGTATACAGTCAGTGTCAGTCGGTAACGTGTGAGTGAATAGTGGTGTCTGTTGCGTGGCTCAAACGAAATAAAAAATGGCACATGTTTACGAAAATTCTGAACTTGTGGACATGATTCTTATTTACGCGGCATCACGGATTTATGCGGATCGGTTTCCCAATCGAGTGCAACCAACCCCTCGCGCCTTTGTTAATGTAATACGAAGGGCTCGTGAATCAGGTGACTTAAGACCTCACAGGGGAGAGCATGCCGGTGCTCCAAGACCGCACGATCAAATACAGGTCCGCACTGAAATACTTGTCGAGAGGATACTTTATAAAACAAGGTAACATTTTTTTTTATTTTTACACACATATTTTGGTTTATCTTCCTTCTACAATCATTATCTGAGAATTAATGACTCAACTTCAAAGTCACCCTGTATATATGTGCATTTCCACGCCTAGTAGCTGTGTGTTTATTTTACATTTTACGTTTAAAGTGATGTCCACAAAATGCTCACTGTTTCCATGTTTCCATCAGAACACGAACATAACTATTACAAAAATTAAGATCTGCAATTTTCTCAGTTATCCATACCTCAATCGCTCCTTTGTACACAGTAAAGTATGTTTCAATACTTGTTTTAATTTTTGTGGCAGTAATAAGAATTTCATAAAGCACGGCAGTGACACTACGTCGTCTTTTTGAGATTGTCTTAGCTGTAAGTTGTATATGTATGCACAGTGAGGGTTTGTGTGCTAATGATCTGGGTTGACAATAATTCCCTTAGTTTATTGTCTCAAATACAGTTACTTCAGATGTATGCTTCATCCTGGAAATTATATATGCAAAGCAGAACTTAAAAAATGAAAGAGGTTAAAAAAGAAAATCCCTGCTTGGTGAAGTATATTACAACTAACTAGCGAGAAAATAGGCTACAGACAGGAATATACTAAGTGACATATAAATTCGAACACCCAGTTTAAATGGTTTTATTTTAATAAAAGTTGGTGAATGTATTTATCTTACTGTAAATAACAAGTGAAAAATTTTCAGCCTTATAAGTTGGACATTCCGGTTTTTATACTGCTTTTTTTTAATTCACTAACGCTCTAAAAATGAATATTTCAGCCGCAGTAAAGAATCAACGTTGGCGGATTTTGGTTCTTGACATCCTTACGATCGGTTACGATGCCTAGAGTACGGAGACCTGTACGATTTCGTCAACTTAGTGAGTTTGATAGGGGCCGTATAGTGGGACTTCGGGAAGCTGGACTTTCTTTTCGGGCAATTGCAGTTAGAGTGCAAAGAAGTGTAGACACTGTGGTTAGGTGTTGTCAGGCATGGCTTCGAGAAGGCCGTACGCAAAGAGCAACGGGCAC